GGAGGTATGCCTGGTATTTCCCTACCAATTTTAATTAATGGTGCATTTAAGCATTATGGGCTTGATTGTGTTGGCAATAAGCTAAACGCGCTTATTTACCAGGCGAAACCCGCTACATGCGCTTATTTTGAGTGGCAAAGGGTCACGCTGCGCTTGAAAGACCGAAACTGCAGCGGAAACAATCGCGCGTTGCTTAAAGTACCATTTTTAATCACACTTAGCTTATAATTCCTGCAGTCCGAAATAAATTGACAGTCCGGAAAATTTCCGACTCGCGTTATATGTATCAGTGTATTTAATGAATTATGACTGTACAACTCATCCAATTTTGCCCTTCATTACAATTACTATACAACATTTCTTTCAAAACAATGGATTAAAAGGGTACTTGACACAGAGACGAATGGCTATCACGTTTCAATTTTACAGAAAAACTTTCTTTCAAAGTGTAGACTCTAACTATATTAACTATGCTCTAAGCAACCAAAAAATGTCCCTTTGATCTATTATTGAAAATTTCCCAAGGGGAGGTGCATGACTTTCCAGGGGAGGTGCAAAAATTCTCTGGGGAGGTGCAAAACAATCTCAAGGAAGGTGTGCACCTCCCCACACCTCCCCTCAAAATCCAGCCATGTGGTGTATGCCTACATGGGGTGTCCAGCTTACCAATTTTTCCAAGCAGTAGTTGTCCAGTGTCTTTAATTTCATTATATTCATGTAGTTTATCAATATGGATCTGCAGTTCATCTTCAGAATATTCTATCCCCAGTTCATCAATTTCCTTATCTATCTTGGCAATTTTCTCTTTTAAAACATCAATGTAAGTTCCTTGTGATTCACCACAACCCTCAGAACTTTTGTCTGACTTTAAGATCTGAAAAAGTAAAATTGTTCTGCCGAATTAAACAGAGTAAAATAATAATTTATTTTAGAATAGGATGTATTAGGGTGCAATGCAATTTAATGGGTTATCAGGACCCATGGCCATATGATCTGGTTAATTAACCCATTAAGTTGCAAAGCACCCTGACAAAGAATAAAGACATGCACACAGAGGGTCGACTCATCCAAAAAAGTGTACCCGCTGTCACGCCATGGTCCTGGCCAGTGCGCTTATGAGAGCCATACACCCCCTGGACGTCTACCATTTTGAATATTATCAGTGGGGTGAATGCCTCTCATAAGTGTACTGGCTAAACCACAGCCGTCAGCATTTTGATGACAAATTACGGTTACCCAAAATGATAGGAAAAACCAAGAAGTCAATCTTCTGTTTGTCTCTATTCTGTGACCCTGATGTGCCCTACTTTATTATTTTACTCAATGGGTCTAACAAGTGCCAACACTATCCCCTTGACAAGTAAGATTGTCACACAACTTACTAACTACCGGTACGACAAAGTAGGCAAATTGTGTGCTTGATCTACACAGTAAAACTAATTTGGGCATTCATGAGTTAGCTAGAATACTGCACTATCACCCCTGACAGGGGTGGACTGAAAAAATAGGCAAGCCCTGCTCACATAAAATGTTAAACAGCTGCAGGAAATTCGTTTGAATGAAGATTTGCTATTGAAAATTTGAAGGAAACCTCAACGAGGGGGGCATTGGGGGGTATTCAACACTGTAATACCGCAAGCAAATGTTGTCAATTACCGCAGTTTTTGAGTCCAAAATTGCAAATACTGTGTACAGCAAGATTTCCAATATCGTAATACCGGTACCGCAATTTTTCAAGGAAAACACCGAAATGGGTCGTTCCAGAAAAGATCCATACTCCCCCCACGGAGGAAATTTCTGCCGTCTGGAGGGGGAGGGGAGAAAAAATTGTTTCTGATAATAGTAAATGTATTAGGACATCTGAAGGGGGTAGGAGGGTTAACTTCCTATTTCCTCCGTGGGGGTGGTATGGATGTTTTCTGGAATGACCCAATACCATAAGAAAAATAAGCTAATACCGTCATACTGTAAATCCCAATGTCCCCCTCCTTAACCCCCATGTTCCACTATGGGCACAATAACATATGGTTGACAGACATTATTTCTTGAATTTAAAACTATGGTCAGCTAGAACACTATACAGTATATCCACATGCGTTTTAGTACAAAAATACTCAGTTGGTCTGCAGGAATTTTTGTCTCCAGGTTGTCCTCCCAGGAAGAAAATTATTTTTTCCTGTCCTGATATCTGACTCCCCACATCTCGTATTCAAACAGGTCAAATTATTTCGTTGAGATACTTACTGGAGACTTAAAAGGCTGTCTTAATCTTGTTCTTGATATCTGTCTGTTCTCACTACAGTATAAACAATGGGCTATTACATTAAAAAACCAAACCCCCCCCTGTCGAGGACCTCTGCTTTTGGGGAATTTTACCCCTCTGGAATGCAAAAAAATCTGTGTAATTGACCCCTCTGGAAGAGACTTGAACCCCCTCTGGAAGGGCATTTTTGCTTTTTAAC